GTTATTTCCTCATCATCAGGCTCTGGCGATGCTGGGAGCAGCGTTGGGTCCTGGATCAACATATCAAAGACCTCCTTCCAGTCTCTGACATTCTTGGTATGCTCCTCATCATGGTACCCCGTAAAATTCAAGTCATCTCGTTTAACCTTTCTCTTTTCCTCTATGGGCAGATCAAAGAACGCTTTAGCCACCTTCTCAACCCTGCAGCGTAGTTCCAAAGGCACCCCATGATTGATCACCTGAAAAAATCCCCATTTTTTGCAAGCATTTCCAATATCTGAAGCAAGTTGTTTGGTGTCTCCAGTGTTATAAGCAGACAGGTCGATTACTGGGATTTCGTTGACTTCGATAGTGCTTAGTTTTGGTCTGTGTTCTGGTTCCTGGACGAAAGCTGGATCAATCTCTCCCATGGTGATACCTTATCAGTGCTGGTAGTTAGACAATTGACAGAGTTGCAGCCTATATCAATTTTCTGCAACAAAATCCAGTGTTCGGCAACTTTATCCAGAGTCGTTTTATATACATTGAACGTGGACAATTTTCCTCATTAATAAAACAGAACTGGTTTGTGGTTGGTAGTAAGGGGTATCGTGGCGTAAAGAAGTATAGGGTCTAAACCACCATGGTATATTTAATAAATATTTATGTACCTTCCTTTGAAAACTTGTCTTCGTTTTAGTCCCTGAGAAGGTGTTAAATTGGACTCTTTGCAATAAAAAATAAAAGCATTTTTCATTGAACCATTCAAGTATTGAAAGTATCTTTTCATACAGGAACGAGAACCAAGTGTTCGAGCTAAGGAAGTTTAAGAGTTACTACATGGGCGAAGATAAAATGACCTAGTGGTGCTGGACACGTACCGAAACCCAAGCTTCAGCAAAATGCTAAACAAAGCGAAGACCAATAGGCCTGTTGATGAATGGAATACTCCACGGCAAGGTCAGATGAAATTTGACATTAACGGAGCAGCCCAAGGCTGCCCTGGATAGGCTGGAATTGGGGGAGTAATGAGGAATGGATATTGGATATTGAAAGGCTAAAAAAGGACTCAAGTGAGTGGGAGGTCATCATGTGTATAGAGAAAAAAATTAATCCCTTAGACAGTTTGGCAAGGGAAGGAGTCCAGTCATAGGGCGACCAAATGAAACGTTTTCGAATAAAATACTCTACATTTTTACCAAATTTACAAATAATTCATTTTGATAGGAATTGATAGATATATTAATGATGTAGGATTATTAGTCAAATTATTAATGTGATATTATTAATATATTTAAATTAAAAAAGAATTAAATTATTAATTATGTTTAAATAATATAAATATTATATTATATTATAAAAATATAATTACTATTATATATATACTTTTAATATAAACATATTTATTTTCTATTTTTTATTTTATAAAAGTTATAACTTATAAAATTATTAATTATAATATATGTTTCTTTCTTTATATAAACATATCATAATATATAAACTTAAAAAGAGGTTGTGAGATTAAAGAAATTTTGTAACTTATTTTTTTAATTTCATATAATTGAAGATAAATCTATAGAATTAATTAAATTAATTCATGAAAGAACGATTATTTATCAGCTTGTAATGTCTTTTAAAATATACACTTTATATATTACGTTAATTTATAAAAAATATAATTATCATTATATATATATATATACGTTAAATATAAACATATTTACTTTATATTTTATGTTAACGTTGTAAAAATTATAATTTATAAAATTATTAAATTATAAATATATATACTTTTGTTTACGCAAACTAATAATATATATAGCTAAAGAAAGTTTGTGAAATTAGAATATAATTATTGTTCCTTTGCTTTTATAAATTTGAATTAAACAATAATTGTTGTAAATTTATAATTTTATTATCTGTTTGTTTTTATAAATTTAATTATTAGTGAATTGTATGAAATATGGATATGAATTGTGAAATATAACTTAATTATATATGGAAGAGAGTTTGGATTCGGGTTTGAGTAATTGGATATGTATAAAGAGTTTAATAAAATTTTTTAACATAATTAAGTTTTTAAATAGATTCAGATCATTTTCAATTAATAGATATGTATTCAAGTTTGAATTAGGATAACAAATTTAAAAATTATCTAAATGTTTATAAGATTCGGATACCCTAAAACTTAATAAAATTTAAATTCGAGTACTTCAAAATTAACGTGTACCCTGCCGCTGGCATCCCTACTTATGATCCATGCTTGGCAGAGGGTTAAGGGGTTTCAAGAGCAGAGGCCTTTTTTTGAGTGCAGGAATGAATGTGGTATGTTCTCTTTGTTCTTTTTAGGCTATATAGACCATATTTATAATCAATTGTTAAAAATCTATATTAAGTATACTACTAATCTGACACCACTTAATTACCAAAAATATATATTAAGTATACTATTAATCTAGATTTTTATTTAATTAATGAGATTAATGAATCTATTAATTGTTTTACAATTTTATAAGAATAAACAAATTATGAAAAGATATTTTAAAATATAAGAAATCATCTCACAAGATTCTGGTCCTAAACAACCACAACATAATTCTATTAATGATGGTACTTAATAATGTTTTAAGTAAAATTGTGTTGAATTTGATCTAAATTTCTACTAATGATGGTACTTAATAATGTTTTAAGTTGAACACACACACTCATCCATGGAGGCCTGGATTACACAACATGAAAGTAATCTTGTGCTGAGAACAAATATTTTTATTCTGGTATCAAGGTTCCATAGCATGGTAAATTACAATAAGCTGAATCTAGTGCTTTACTAGCAGGCTTGTAAGTACATCAGCAACTTAATTAGATATCTTAAAATTATGAATTTGAATGTTTTCAACCTCAAGCTTCTTGTAATCACTGCGGTTTCTAGCAACAAAAAACTTTCCAAAGCTGTACTCTTTATACTTTGCTGGATTTTGCTCATTCACTAGCTCCTCCAGTGGCTTCACCATAACACTGTGACATGGGAAAAAGAAGAATGGAACTGAAAACCTTTCCCTTTCGGAGTTCACCACCACCCTGTGCTCCACACTCTCATAAAGTTCATTACTCCAGACCTGCAAAGGGGCAGCGTGTGAGCTAATGGTACAAACTACTGACAAATAATGAGCCTTTGCCCTTATGGCCATAACATCTATTTGAGGGATGGCCTACTCTAATTAACCTGTTGGGTTTTTGGGATGACTACAACCATTCGAAATATTAAAAAAAAAACAAAAAGGAAAAAAAATTGAATACTTGCAAGAACTTGACCAAATTAGCCAAAATTAATCCCTGGTACCTGAACAGTATCACCAACATTGATGATGAAGGCATTTGGGATTGGTTTAACAGGAATCCACTCTCCATCTGATTTTCTCTTTACTTGTAGTCCTCCAACATCATCTTGGGAAAGGACAGTTAAGGCACTAGCATCCTTGTGTCGACCAACACCAAGTGCTAGGTCAGGGAAAGGACAAGGAGGATAATAGTTAAGTCTTAGCATGCCCGTATGGTCTTTAAAGTAGCCACTCAACCGGTTAGCCGGCAAGCCTAAGCTTAAGGAGATGAGTTCCAACAGCTTGTAACCTAGCTTTGCCACCTCTCGAGCATACTCCTGGCATACCTTCCTAGCCAACATTAACAATCCTTGTATGAAAACAAGTGCCAGATTAATTCTTGCTTAAAAAAAGTTGGTATCCATTAATTCAGACAAATTATAGTGATTTTGATACCCCAGAGCTTTGACCTGACAAATCACCAAATCAATTGGTGCAAAAAAAAAAAAAATCTTTGCTAAAACATGGTCATTTTAAACCGGCATATGGCATCAGTAATTTGCACCATTTTCTTTCCCCTTTTAACTTATGCTTCTGTGGTATCCCGAAGTTGTAAGCTGAAGTCATTCCTACAGGCATCTGTTATCGGCTCATCTCTAATTCTCCTATCTATCTAACAATCATAGGTTTGCTCATCTTTATTTGCTAATCCTATAAACATATGAAAAGTGAAATAATAGACCTAGGCTTTCTGGAAGTAACCACCAAAAATCCCAAAGGTGAGATTTATATTACCTGAACTCGGGAGGGTTCTCAGGCCACTGGTTAGTCAACGACCTTATTTCTTTATCCTCAGGATCATGCGAAGCTGGGACAAAAGTTGGATCTTTTAACAAGAAATCAAAGACTTCCTTCCAGTCTCTAACGTTCTTTGTGTGCTCGCTATCATGGTACCCCATAGCGTTCACTTCATCTCGTTTAACCTTCCTCTTTTCCTCTAAGGGCTGATCAAAGAATGTTTTCGCCGCCTCCTTAATCCTTGTGCATAATTCCAAAGGCACCCCATGATTGATCACTTGAAAAAATCCCCACTTTTTGCATGCGTTTCCAATCTCCGAAACAAGTTGGTTGAGGCCTCTGGTGTCAGATACAGAAAGATCAATAAGTGGGATTCCCTCGACTTGGATGGTATTGAGTGTGGGTCTGTGTTCGGTGGCTTGGATGAAAGCTGGATCAACTTCTCCCATGGCTCTCTTGACAGTACGGTAGCTACTAGCTAGATGATGGTAAATCACTGCGACACAAAAGACACTGGCTACACTATCATATCATTTTGTGATTATGATTTTTTTACTTTCTTTACATACATTGAACGTGGACAGTTTCACTGAAAAAAATCAAATCTGGGGCCGTGGGGTCTATTTTGGAAGGCTGTGCTATGTGTGCCAGACTGCGATTGCATGGAGAGCAAATGCCATTAAAAAAAGAAAGAGATAAGGGCTTTCCCCACTCAGTCACTGTATTGCACCTGTCCACTGTTTTAGTAAACTTTCGTGTAAAGAAATACACATGTTTTCTAGAACTTCTTCAAGGGCACAGGTCGGTATAACGTACAAGCTTCGTATCTCGTGATCTTCCAGAATGCTTAACATAGAATCAAGACCAAGAAAATTTCCGAAACCTCATGAATCTAGACCTCTCAAATCCGTAGAAAGAATATGGTATTTGAATTTCTTTTGATCCTTCATGTGGAAATAGACGGTTTAACACCAAGAAATCTACACAAAAGAAACTGCCTTAACCCCTGAATAAAAATGAGCTCAGTTTCAATGGTGTAGCATAAAAAGTTTAAAGAGAGACTGGGGGTTAAACTCGTCTAAAATGCAACTATTTACATGGAAACTAACAAGACATGTAGAGAATTCGAGTTTTCAAGCAGCTGGCATTGTGGTTGAAAGGACTACATAAGTCAAATATTGGAGTCCATCCTTGATTTTGCTCGCCGCAGTGGTCTGATCACCGTGGAGATGTTCGGAGAAGGCATTAGCTTTCTCCTGGATTGATGCCTGTGGAAGTGCTTCATGCGAATCTACAGTAGCACTCTTAATGGCCGCTAGATAAGCTTCAGCTACATCAGATATGCCTGAATAACACATTTAAAGATAACCACCTTCAGCTATCTGTGCTCACATGTACCAAGTAAAAATATAACTGATCTAAGAAGATAACAGAGGTACATGCTGCCGCAGGGGGACAAGAAAGGAGGGCAAGAAATATAACCTGTGATAAAGCTGCTGGATACAGCTTCCACATATCCTATCATTGATTGTGCCTTTACTCTGATTAATTTAGCTTTTTCAATGGAGTCCTCAGGCCAGTCGATATTCAGCATATCGCCATCAGCATCTTCATCTTGAACTTTGTTAGCACTAGATATGATAGATTTACCCAGCATCAGGAGCTGAGACACAGCAAAACAGCACATTTCCGAAAGCCTCTGCATAGACATGCATAGTCATTTTAAATTCACCAAGGAACCAACAATAAAGATCATGTCCTAAAATAATAGTCAAAATGTTCAAAATAATTCAAAATATTTCAATACATGAACCCCCTCTGAGTGCAGAGACTCTAGCCTTCCAGCAGTTCTTTGAATTATATCATCAACAGCTAATCCTGCCAATGCATTTGTGAACCTGAAAATGTTTTGGAATTATTAACAACCAAGCAGTATCAATTATAAATAATCCTATGCTTATCCCCCCCCCCCAAAAAAAAAGACTATAAATAACACTATAAAATGTGTTAAAGAGTGTTGATTGTGAGTAATATTTTTTGCTGCATGTCCATCTGCTTCATATTACATCAAGAAACCCTACACACTTGTAACCATGCATATAATTTAAACAATCTTAGGCGAAAATCCATTTTTTATCAATTTTAAAGCATGTGTAATATTTAGACTTGAAAAGATGAAAATGGAGTGGTTATCAAGAGAAGGCTACTGAACAATATGGAAACAAAATCAACTCAGTTAAAGGAAATTCAATTTTGATAGTTAGAACTGGATGAGCTCCTGAATGAGAACCCTAATAGAAGATACCTATAAGTAGTGCAGACATTCAGAAAACTATATTATATACCCAGTAATAACTTGGTGCAGAATTTTCTGAGTCAGGTAAACAAGAAAAAAACTATGTTTAGCAAATTACCCGGCAGCCATATCAGCAGCCTTGCTGACACTTGAATCATGTAAATTTTTCATCTCATCCTGACTGCCCTCAGTTCCAGTCTCTATTTTCTTTCCTTTGGCCAACTCTGGACCATTTCCCTCCATTTCAGCATCCAAACTGAAAATTTGCTGGATTTGTTTAAGCTTTCCCTCATACACAGATTTCAGTTCCGACGGTAACTTTGCTTTTCTTCGATTGAATAGAAGGGCATAATGGCTGGACAATGCTTCCAGTTCCTGACAGCATTACAATTCAGGTATTTGAAAGATATAATCATTTCAACAATCAAACTCAACTTCAAGGATAAGAAGTTAACCTCCAACTGCTCTGGACCTCCATATATATAGAAGCATCGATCAAAACTGACTTCCTCAAATAACTGATCCTCATCAGATGGCTGTTCAGTGCCCTTAGGGTTCTTTTCAACTTCGATACCAGTTTCAGTGATTAGTAAATCCATAGTCTCCTTTCCCACATATTCAAGCACTTGCATTCCCTTTGTTGTAAAAGCTTTTCCAGTCTTCCAAATAAAAATGAGAAATAAGAGATCATTGCAACACAAACAAGACAGAAAACAAGGCCTGCACAAACCTCAATTAATGATGGTGCAGCTGAACCAGTGGGTAAACCTCCATGCTGAATAGAATCTGCAATGTTTGCAGCAGAATGCTCAAGCCTAGACAATAAAAGAGAGAAAAACTTATTAGCAGAAAAATGTTTCAAGAGTATTCATTTCTTGAGTTCCATGACAATAATTGTAGAATTGTACTACAACCAGGAGAAAATAAAGGGAAATTATAAAATGATGACAGAAAACCAAACAGCCTAGGTTACCCCGTTGTTAGTCTTAGCATTAAAATCCTCATATCTAGAAGTATGCATCCACCCAAAAACGAACTTTAAATATTCTAGATACCAGGAAAATACTACTCAAAGTCTCATACGGAACATAGATGAAAAAATCCATATCTTCTGTCCAAAAAATGTGACACAACAACAACCAACTTCCCTGTTTTTTATATTGAAAAATGAGCCCTACTAAATTTCACTTGGAGCTTTGGCAACTGCTGTAGGAGGTGTGATGTACATGCACTTGTTAACCAATCCTTCCTAATTCTCATCTTGGCGGTTCCAATTAAACACTTTCCCTTTTTCATTATTCTCAAAAGTGAAGATTTTTTTATCCTTTTTTCTCTTTTTTGTTTTCGTTTTTTCTTTTTCAGTGTGCAGCCTCCCTACAGAAGGCGCATGGGGGTGTCTAATATCCTGTTGTTCCTCAGTAGCTCAGTGTTAGAGCTGGTTGATGTCCTGAACATAGTCACAGCTTCACAGAGGGGGAAAATCCAATATACTGCAAATATTCCATGATGATAGAACCCTGAACCCATTGCTTTAGAAATTAAAGATATTCATATTGAATGAGTTCTGAAAATTTTGAAGATGCATAGCAATTAATAAGCATCAACCCATTCATTTTTTATTTTTTGCTTGTTAGTTCCTGGGAATCAACTAATTATTTGAAAATCAAACTCTCTAGCTTGCGATTTGAACAATCAATCTTCGGCTCCGGTGCAACTAATCACAATTGGAAAGGAAAATGATACATTGAAAAGCAATGAAACATACTTCTGAACAAGATTGGTACCCCCTTTCCATGCACTCCCTAGTGCTTGCCATGCACCAGATGCCAAATTCTCCACAGAGTTGTCAAAAACCTTCAAACCCTGCAAACATTGCAAGTAGGACATAAGATGAAGCTCAACCAATATCAAAGACAAAAATATTGATTCTGATTGATCAATATCAAAAACCAAATATTGATTCTGATCCATCATAATGCTATGATATGACTGTCAGTGCACTCTGGTGTGTCTGCAGAAAAAAGGACAGAGTTTTGAACACAAATGAAAAAGCAAAACCAGCAGGACTACCATCATCCCAGATTTCTGCACCAAGTGCTAGTACACATTCAAATATCAAAATGGATAAAAAAGACTTGCCTGGCCAAGGAAAGAATCTGAACTGGCTTTCTCTAACTTATCCAGAGCAGACTTTCGTAGTTTGCCATTTTCATCTTCACTTTCCTTTTCAATTAGAGATTCTTCTGCTTCTTCCTCCTTAGAAGATTCTGAGTCTTCAGCAAGTTGCATATCTGCAAGGCTCTTGGCAGCCTTTTCCGCAACCACAGAAGCCTGCATCAAGAAATCACAGCTTAACAAAATTGAAAACAGCATGATACATCATTACATGATAAGCTATTGCGTATAATTCTCATACAAAATTATCACTTTATCCTCTCTGAAGTATAAATGACAACCTTCAGTAAGTATAAACCCAGTACCTAGCCTCTGAATTTTCACACAAGATAAGGTCCTTGAACAATGGCACATTTCTTATGCTTCACATATCAAACACAAATTTATTCCACTGATAAAGAGGAAGGTTTAATTCAACAAAATAAAACTTCTCTACTAAAAGCGACAGTAAATAAGGCTTCCACAATCTATAGTATCAAAAAGCTACTAAATTAAACAACCCAACGGACTCTTTCTTCAAAATGCTAATTCGAAAAAAAAAAAGCCCAAAAACAACCAATTTCACTCCAAGATCTGAATACCCACATTTCCAAACATAATTCAAAAAACAAACTTTAATTCGAATACTAAAAATAATACGGAAAAAAAGTTAATCCCATAATTTGATAGTATTATATATATATAAATACGTAGAGAGATAAAATGATGCTTACATTGCGACTGATCTCCTCAGCGGCAACAGTGGCAGCTTTTTGAAGATCCGAGAGAACAGAGAAAGCAGAGAAACCCCAACCGCCCCATCCTCCTCCACTTTTTGCTGTCGTAGTTGATGCTGATTGTTGCTCCTCCTTCTTGGGTTCTTCTTCTTTTTCTGGAGATTCTCTTTTTTCTTTATCTTCCATTTGTTGTGGTGGTGGGTTCTTGGTATCTTCCATTTCTTTTCTTTGTTTTTGTATCAAAAAATGCAGAAGAAATTTGTAATGTTTATCTCAGAAAAAAACAAAAGTTCCGCCTTTGGTTTCGATTTTCTTGTGATTTTAATAACAGAGAAGAGATTGAACGAGATCCGTATAAGGATGCTGGAGCTTCAAGTTGTTGAGGATAGCGGCTGTTTTCAGTCGAAAATGGACAACGAAACCGTGACTCAGCGTGCGTTTGAAGGCAATCGACTTCAAAACGATGACGTATCCCTGAAAATTAAGCAAATTAAACGCCTGCGTTTTGTGTTGATTGGGCCAATCTTCCCCTTCTCTCTCTTTCCAAACGGACCAAACCGATTCCCATTCTCGACCCATTGTTGGTTTTTCACTTGTTGACCATAATAAAGACCTGTTAACCGCAAATGTCAAAGTTTATAAGGTGTTTGAAATGCATAATTGCATTTGATTCAGCAGCTAGTTGATTGATCACTAATCATCAACTAATGCATGCTAAGAAAATTAATGATCCTGATTGATGGGTACTTTCTTGCATTTTTTGAATTGACTAAGTTTTAATCTGTTTACGACTACATTTAATCAAGACCCTGTGGACCCTATACATTTTTTGTTCTATCAGAAGTTTGAAATGAATTTCCTACGTACGCAAGGCAGTGAAAGGGTCCGGTGTGGCTGACTGATCATCCCAAGGACCATGGTGGAAAAAACTATGAACCACTACAAGCTAAAAAATACAAAAGTGGAAAGAGGGGAAAAAATTATGCTACTGCTATTCTTTAACATTTCATGAAGGCAAAAACTGAAAATCTTAAGTCCACCAGGTTTCCTGATAGAGCAGCACCAGGGGGTTTCTGTTGATCCATTCTGAATGTTGGGACATAATATCCGAGTAGTGGTCGTTTGTGTGAGCATCGTACTTGCACTTTTCTATGCCTTTCTTGTTTTGAGATGGGCTAGGAAAAAGAAGCCTAAATCCAGTGATGGAAAAGTGACAACTACAACCCCAGTTTCATTGCTGGAAGTTAAGGTGACACTTCCTATGAAGGTAATTTTTGGGGACATAACAGTGGCAAAGAAATATGATCCACCAGAAATGGCTCAGATTCCAAAAACTAGGCTTGGTGAAGGTACCCTGGGGACTTTGTTTAAGGTTGTTCTTAAATGTGGGTCAATTGTCACAATCCGAAAGATCAGAGAAGGCCTGATCACGGATGCCGTTAATCTTGACTTGTGGATTAACTTCTTTGGAGGAATCCGGGATGCTTGGCTCTTACCAATACATTTCAGTTTTTGGTACGGAGGAGAGGCTTTTATTCTGTATGACTATGTGATCCTGGGGAGTTTGGAGGAGCTTTTACATGGTAAGCTATGATTTCTTCCTGTATCTTAACCTAATTTTCATATCCATTTTCTGGGGTATATTTCTGATTGAACCTGATTAAACTTGTCGAACTGTTAGTTGAAACTCTTAACACATATTCTGTTCGATTTCTTGGAGTAGAAACTCTGATGCTTTTGGCAGCTTATAGATATGGATGATGTTAGAGTTTTAATTAACTTTTCTATCATTTGCAAATATGTAGGCAGCGAAGGGATTCAGTTCACTCCATTAAACTGGGGAATTAGGAAACAGATAGCATTGTGTGCAGCACAGGCAGTTGCCTCAATTCATAGCCGAGAAACTCCAAATGGTGAAGCACTTGTTTGTGGGGTGATTAAGGCTTCGAACATCTTGATTCGAATGGATTTTTCTGCTTGTCTTTCAAGCTACGAAACGCCTTACCTAGTACCTCAGGAAAAGATAATCAAAAGAAACTCTGGCCGTGTGGCGCCTGAACTGAAGAATCATCCAGAAATGTTTACACAGAAGTCTGATGTTTACAGCTTTGGAATACTGCTACTAGAGCTAATCACTGGGAAGAGGCCTTCAGTGACCAACCTGGGAGCGTACATAAAAGAAAAGAAAAGGAAAGAAGGGCTGAATAGTATATACGATGAGAAATTGGGAGAAGTGAAGGAGAACATGGTCGGAATGATTGAAATTGCCTGGCTTTGCCTGTCACGCAATCCACAAGATAGGCCATCCATAGATAAGGTAGTGCAACTGATCAAGTCTTTGTAAGTAGAACTTCTTGGTCCTTTTGGTTTCACTTTGGAGATAGGGAGATTAGAACCGATTACATCGTAAGGCTACATGTCTTGTATTTAAAAGTTATAAAGTCACAACAAAATGAAGAAAAAGTAATAAAAATGGTGAAACTTTTGGCTTCACGTGATGTTTCATGACATAACTGGAATTGTCTACGCCTAAACATGAACATCACAGGATGCAACAATTGTTCTTGTTTATTATTTCATTATAATTCTATTGTTGATTTATAGCTCTTAATAACATAACAGAGTTAAGGCATTGGTGTTATTTATCATTTGTTTAAAGCTGTGTGCCATTTCAAAATATGAGAAAGCGTATGATCATTTGGAATTTTTTCTCTTTTCAATGTCATGCAGATTTGTCTACATGAAATCACGAATTCAACAAAAATAAATGCACTTAATAATTGCAAATCAGATGTCATGGAGATTCATATGCATGTAAGAAACTTCTCTACTTAATGGAAATTGCAAATCCATTGAGAAGTCAAGCTAACAAAATGCCTGTGTACTTAGCCTCTTTGCTTCTTTTTTCATTTTTTATAGCCAAAAGGGGGAATATACAATATAAAGATGTTTAAGGCTATACTATTTAGTAGCCTGGAAACATTGGTGGAGGTGGCGAAGAGTACTGGAATCCCAAGTTTGGTGGGAGGACAAATTCCTCGGTAGGTGGCGGTGCAGAAGCAACAGGAGGAGGAGGAGATGGAGTTGGAACTGGTGGTGGTGGTGGTGAGTAAACCGGTGGAGGTGGGGATTGTACAGGTGGTGGTGGTGAGTAAACTGGTGGAGGTGGAGAGTGGACAGGTGGTGGTGGTGGTGGTGGAGAGTAGACGGGTGTGGGGGTGGTGAATGGACAGGTGGTGGAGGGGAGTAGACTTGGTGGTGGTGGGAGTAGACAGGAGGTGGTGGTGAATGGACTGGTGGAGGTGGTGAATACACAGGTGGCGGTGGTGGGGGTGAGTAGACTGGTGGAGGTGGTGAGTGAATTGGTGGGGTGGTGAGAAGACAGGTGGAGGTGGTGGTGGAGAATGGACTGGTGGTGGCGGTGGTGAATGGACTGGTGGCGGGGGTGAGTGCACGGGTGGGGGTGGTGAGTAGACTGTGGTGGAGGTGAGCGGACATCTCCAACAGGAGAATTACCGTATGGGTCAGGTGAAGGCATTGGTGATGATTTTGGTGGCTGGGAGTTGGATTCTCCGGTGCTGCTGGTGATTTTGGCGACTCAGGAGTCGGCTTCTTAGGTGCTGGGGGTGGCTCTCGAGTTGGGTTCTTAGGTGCTTGTGGCCTGATAGGAGTCACTGGAGATTGGTCATGTGGATCAGGTGACGGTGCTGGTGCTGAAGATGGTGGTTTAGGGTGCCGCTGTACCGGAGGTCGTCGATGTGGCTCCTCCGGTGTGGATTGTTTCGGCTTTGGGTGTGGAGGCGCTGTGACGGGTGGTTTTGGCTGTGGCTTTGATGGGCTGGATTTATAAGGTGATGGTGTCTTAGGAGCGTGTGGTTTGGAAGGTGAAGAGCCTCCACCACACTTGTCCTTGCTACAGTCCACAGGGCGGCTCACCACGGGATAGCATTCCTTGGCTGACTTCTGCTTTGGCCTACCACCTAAACAGTTGCTGGTGTCATCTATCACAATGTCCTTCCTTGAAGGTGGAATGCAAGCATTGGCCTCTCCCTTGAAGTAGTTGTAAGAGAATGTGAAATTGGACAAGCTCGACAACTTGCAGACATTCTCGGGTACAATTCCTGTCAGCTTGTTGTGAGAAATATCCAAGAGCTCAACCTTCTTTAAGCCCGAAAAGCTTTGTGGCAAGATGCCTGTAAATGAGTTGAGACCGGCATGAAAGACAGTCACGTTGCTTAGCAACCCAACTTCTGCTGGGAAGCAACCACCAAGGTCATTGTTCATGAAATTTATCTCATTCAGGTTCGCCATCTTGCCAATGCTGTGTGGAATGCATCCGCTGAATTTGTTGTTGGCAAATGTCACAACAGACACCGTGGATTTGCCAATCGTTTCGGGAATGGTGGAGGTGAACCTGTTGTTGTTCAAGAACAACGCATCAAGGTCCTTTTCGAAAATGCCACAAGGTAGTTTGCCTTCAAAATCATTGAATCTGACATCAAGGTACTTGAGCCCTGGCCATGATAGAACAACTTCTGGGAAAGGACCAACAAAGCGGTTGTTGCTGACATCAAACTCATGCATAAGCGTAAGCTTAGACAAGCTCTTAGGTATAATTCCACAAAACCTGTTAGAGTTTATGTGGAACAATGCAAGATCGGTCATAAGCCCCAACTCTGCTGGAAGGTATCCAGCAATGTCAGCATGGTTAAGATCAACGCCGGCTACAACACTCAACTTGGGGTCATCCAGTGCCGGAGCACAGAAGACACCGGTGTAGCCACACACATTGGGGCCAACCCAGTTGCCAGTTGTGTTCAATGGATCGGAGTACATTGCCTTTTTCCAGGCACGAAGGGCAATGTAAGCCCTCTTGAGCCTTTGATTGGCGAAAGTTTCAACTATTTTGACTTCATATTCAAAATCCTCTGGAAGTTCGCCATTTTCAGGAAGGGTTAGGAGCTGGCGATGAGCAATATAGGATGCTTCAGCGTCAGACAATGCAAAAGTGAACGTTGATAATGAAGAGAGAAGGAAAGAGAAGAAAAGAAAGCAGCCAAAGGCCTGCAATCTTTGAGGTTTAGCCATTGCTGACCACCTTGGTAGGCCCAAGGCTGCTTATAGAAGGCAGATGGTTCTGAAGAGGGGTGGGTTATATTGAGGGAGAAGGAAGGTATGGTTTGGCAGACATTGAGAGGTCATTGGAAGTTGGCTCCTGTTTTAGCACCGGAAAGTTTGTTGGGTTCGTCTGGACACCACAAAATTTTAGACTTGCCTCTAATTTTAGACACAAATTTTAGGGAGGGGCATTGCATGGTTCGCGGGATGAAGGCTAAATGAAACCAGAGCTCAAAACTAACAACTGACCAAGTCCCCTTGCCATATATCTGCTGCCAGATTGTAAGCTTTATGGCTGGACCTGGACATGAAAATCTTCTATTTGTGCACAAGATTAATCTGTAATTCTATATTCCCTTTATAACATCAAATTCTTGCTTCTATATCTTGGCATATAAATTGTGGCATCTGATGTGACAAATTCCCGACAATTGGCAATTTACTTGTTTGTCAAACTCAATGGTTTAGTTATTTTCCCCCTTCTTTCAACTGCACAGTTCTGATAACTGGAGGAGAAAGCATAATCAACAGAATGACAGTAAAGTCTGCAGAATGTAGACCTGGGATTTTCAATCCAGCATAGTTTGTCCCCACTGGCCACAACATAATTGGATGTGATACAGAATCGTCTGAAGAATTTCCCTGCACTGGTTCTGACTGCCACTTAGATTACTATTCAAATTACTGCAACTTACGGTTAAATGAAAAATTTGCCCTCCCTAAGCACGTTATGTTGGGAAGAGCATGTAATCACTTGCTTAATTTCCTCCTATTTTGTTAGTTTGGCTATACTTGTCCCTTATAACTTGTTAATCACAAATCCAAGGAACCACATTTCTAGCATCCATCCCTAGTAGTACAAATATACTTCGTATGAATGAAAGCAAAGAAAATTTTGACTATAGATACAAAAATGAGCGATGAACAATATTGTTCTGGAAATGCAAGCAAACTTTCAACAATAACAGTCATTTTGCCACTATGATACACCTCTCCAAAGCAATCCCATATTCCAATATCACACAGCTCAGAGCTTCACAGTCCAGCCCCTGGAAACCTTTTTTGCTAAAAACAAAAGAAAATTGACTCTTAAAAAAACTCCGCCACACTTTTTATCTACAATGAAGCTATATGCAAACTCAATTGCAAGCTTTCGTGTATCAATCGGCTTCGTGGTCAGGGGCAGGAGAGTACCAAGCAGGCGACGTGCCTTTAGTTCTAAGCAATCTAGTAAATGGCGAATCAGGCATTCTAGCTCTCTCTTCCTCCTCGATTTCCTCTGCAGATTTCGGCAACCCATCTGGGATATGGAAGAATCTTTTTCCTTCATTTTCAGTATTCAATGGCTTAGACATACTAAAATAACCGCTGCCGTTTCCCTTGTTGCGGATGGAAGCAATTCCATGCAAGCATCCAATCAAGGACTTAACGCCCCCTGCTTGAAGAATTAACTTCTCTACATCTTCTTTCGGTGTCTCTCTCTGTTATGCATGAAAGAGAGAAATTAAAATTAGAAACTACAATTATGCCATTAAAAAAGTTTTTTTTTTGCTTTGATTCATTTACTAAAAATTCAAACAGAAATGAATTAAACCCAAAAAAAAAAAAAGGCTGTCCATGGTAGCTTCCTAATAAAATTACCATAATCACATCAGTAAGATACAAACATTGCGAATTATTATGGATTTTATAAGCTTCACATAAAAGTTCAATTGATTGTCGCGTACTTATTTTATACTAGTTAAACTAATACGTACTTATTTTCTTTCTTCTTCTTTCTTTTTTTTTTCCTGTATTTTCTCATCATCCAAACAGGTGCAATATTTAAATTTAAAATCTAAAAACTTGCCTCAAGATCTTTTAGTTCGAAATAAGCTCTCCAGCAACTATAAGAATCGTCGCCTTCAAGCGTCGAACAATAATCTGAAAATTTCAAAATTTCACTGAAATCAATAAAATAAACGAAGTAAATACAATCACCTAAGTTTAAAAATGTTATAAAAATAATTACGTACCAGCGAGCTCCTTCTCGGATTTCTCGATCAAGGGAGGCTCTTTAATGGCCCGCTCGAATTTTGTTCTGCTAAAAGGCTCGAGCTTCGGTATGTAAGCGTCGCTGCTCGAAGAACAACGAATCGTCGAAGTAAATCTCGTTTTCGACGACGGTGATAATCCAGTACGGTGGATATCTTTGGCCTCGACGAGGATAGCAGACGAATAGGTACGGAGTAGAATCGACTTTATCATCGTAACCAAACGTACACAAAAACACGGAGTTTTCTTTCTTTTCTGCTAAATCTTGTTTTCCTAAAGAAGATTATTATGTAGCGATGCGGTTCAATACTGGACGAACTGGATAAGGATCAAGGATATTTTATTGCTATTAAGGGGATTAGGATATTTTGGGTTGACTATTCTAATAATTGGGGTGACAGGCGAATCGTGGCCGTTGGGTTGGGCTGATTGGATTCGATCTTAAAATAAGGGTCGTTCGATTGGATGTTTCTTGGTTAGCAAAGTGGGGATGCTTCAGAAGCAGGAGCGCCCACTGTTTTTGCACTTTTTGGGCTTTTTGGCCTCCCATCGCTTGTTTGGTGGATAAGTTGTCTTTTCACCCACCGCAAAGAATAGTCAATCTGATAAAAATCTTAAAAAAGAAAAAAGAAAAAAGATTATTTCTGACTGGGCTTTCATGTTAATTTCTAGTCTCGAACCCACAAATGACATGGACTTTAGACCCAAAGCCAATGAGTAAATCCCATGGCTCGAACGTTTGGCCCAGTAATTGATAAGCGACCCCTCACTCAAAATAATAAATTTTTAATTTTTCTTTTTTCAAAATAAAAAATAAATATTAATATCTTTTATAATTAGTTGAGAACAATAATATTCAAGATTTATGATTAAATTTTTTTATCCTGTGCATCAATAATAAATTTTTTAAATTTTACAGACAATTTAAATTCATAACAAGCACATCCAAAAATCATATTAAAAAAAAACACAAAAAAATTTAATTAACTTATATAATCACATTAACGTACATCAGGTTACATATATTTAAACTCGTTAGGAAAGTTTAAAACACTATACAATAACAATATTGTGTTTTATTATTTGCACGTATTAATAAAACTATTCCATTTTATTATTCTTTTCAAAAAAAAGTAATTTTATATTTAAATTTAACTGTAAATGAGATACCAGAACAAAACATATCGCTTTGGCCAAATCCAATGAGCATTTCATGTGCACCACAATCTTTGGATTACCCTTTAGTGATGAGTTATAAAAAATCCATTCTTATCAAAGAAGTTGTTCTCAGTTAAAAATTATTTAGTGCTTATCCCATAGGAGATTAATCATAAAACTTAATGATTAGGTCAATCGCAAAGATAAAGTTATACATGCCATAAAAACTTATTTGGAAAGAGTAATTAAGTTATTCGTAATTTAATATTCGAGTATTTAATTTATTAAGTAATATATGATTTTTTTATTTATTGAATAAGATTTGATTTATTTTTTCAAGTTCATAATCTAAACGTAAAGTGTGAAAACTTTTTAATTGGTATAATAATATAAAATGCAATCATAGAACATTTAACATTTCATAATCTACTATAGTTTTTACATGCGCCATGTTATTGCCATCAGGTAATGCATATCCACTTATATATTTTAGTAATATTAATATTATTAGTTTTTGATGACAGCCTAAACATAACATTACCCATGTGAAAAGCATGATACACGAAAATATTTAATGAAGCGTAAAATTCCAAAGTATTTTACTTGCAATTTTTTATATAATACTTTTATAATTATTTAATTACAATAAAAAATCAATGTAATAATCTATCATTTGTAAATGTAAAGTGTAATTAATTAATTGTATGCCATTATTACAGGAGATAACCTGTCAACTTTCTTACGTGGCAAGAATTTAGTGGGTAGTTGCCAGTCGGGCGAGGAAACTTCAACGTCCAGTTTCTGCAGGAGATCATCTCCGAAGTATTTCTCTCTCTACCCTTTTGCCACGCATTTTGTTGCTGTCTATTAAGACCAAATT